AGATATTTACATTTCTATACTATATCTATGACATCCGAAATCCTTCATCTACAAATATTATGATCTAACATCAAGAAATCAAAATAACGAAACTATCCTATCTATAATTTAGACGTCTCGCTCTTTATTCCTGAAAGATCTTACTATTTCTCTCTTTCCACATCACTCAAGGCTTACCATATGTATTCATGTTCAATAAGTGAGCTTGAACACCAGCTGCTGCTACTCATTATAGAGTTTTACAGGACATTCAAGAAGGACAAATCGAATCATCTTTCTGACAGATTGGACAAGAAAGATTCATTGAACAGTCCCAGGTTAGATTAAGCAGCATTAATGGCAAAAAAGAAAAAGGAAACAAACAAAATCAATTAGTCAACAACAACAGAGTACTGCATTTCTATAAAGAATACATGGAAACACATGAGAAGCACACAAATTTTACAGTCAGTTTATTTTGAAAAAGCCGCCACCAACTGATCCTTCAACTGCTCAGCTGCACCACTTTGGGTTCGAATTGAGAAGGTATGAATAACGTTGTTCTCCGATAGGGACACATTTGATTCTTGGGCGGCAATTTGATGATCCCTGAAGGTTTTTATGACTCTAGAGACCGGGTGAGCATCCAAGGGGGAACTCAGCCTCACGACTGCATCCTCATGTTGTGCCTGAAAATCAATTTCTGGCACTGTTAATTGCTGCTTATTGTTTACCATCTCTCTTTCAGTTTCCAAAACCCTGATTTTCATCTGGAGATCAGTGATGTACGTAATGGCATCACCAAGCAAAGAAGCCTTGTCCATCTTAGAGATGTTAGGAACAACAGCTCTTAATGCATAAAATCTCTGGTTAAGCTTCTCTCTCCTCTGCCTTTCTGCTTCCACGTGATTCAAAGGTTCTTCCCGACCATTTGCAGGCTTCCGGCCTCTCTTTCTTGGTTTCCGCTCATCAGGCAGAGAGAATGACTCATCCTTAGGCAGCTCTGGATTAGGTACCAGTGCCGGAGCATTGAAACCCCCTGAAATCATTTGGTTCAGCTGGGGAAACAGTTTCACATCACTGTCGTCACCTCGGAACCCGTTGGAAGAATTATTATAAACTTGACTGGAGCCCACTGCTTGCACATCATAGGAATCCAGAGCAAAACCAGAATCATTTTCCACCTTTGGGGAAAAATTTATACTCACAGATTGAGATTGTGAACCACCAAGACTGAGTTCACGACCAAAAATCATTGGAAATGCCTTCGCCTGGACACAATTAGATTCCCCGAGTACTGT